CCGGGCCCCGCCCGTCCTTACCCGCTGTGTCTGTCAGGGGATTTCACACCCTCGGTATGGTCGCTCCCACAGCTGGACGAGTGGCCGGTGCTTGGCGCTTCATCCGCGGTTTGTCTACGGGTTACGGTCGTTGAGGGATTTACTCAGGAGCCATCTGTGAAGCTGCGTTTTTTGCTTTCATTCAGTCCATAAACGGTAGCACAAGGGTTGCATGAAGCAGAATTAATGAAACCACACTGCAGCTTGTGGCCGGCCTGTCAAAACTTGCGGTGCTGGTACCTCGGTTCTTTGTGCTGCAAAGGAAGAACACACGGTAAAGCAGCCCAGCCCCAAGCTGCAGGCCAGAAACTACCATGTCTAAGCCGTGCTGGGAGGAAAGGATGCTCTAGCTGCATCCTTCCCACTGGCAGGCCCTGCTCTTCCTTGGGCATCTCTGCACAGCATAAATGTTGTGCTGAACCCTCACCCTCAGCAGACAGCAATGGGGTCTCTGTGGCTACAACTCACAACTCATAGGGTGCAGAGGGATGAGTGGCCATGCTCCCTGCAGGGCTGGAAGCATGCTGCTCTGATTAAATTCCTGCCTCTTCCCCATCCCCGCAGTGATGTTCACAGAATCCCAGAATGTGAGGAGTTGGAAGGGCCCTGGAAAGCTCCCCCAGTGCAACCCCTGCCAGAGCAGGATCACCAGAGCAGTCACACAGGAACACGGCCAGGGCTTTGGGGGTCTCCACACAAGGAGACTCCACAACCTCTCTGGGCAGCCTGGGCCATGCTCCATAACCCTCACACTCACAAAGTTTGGCCTCATCTTCAGCTTGAACCTCCTGTGCTCCAGCTTGGGACCATTGCCCCTTGTGCTGGCATTGGCCATCCCAGAGCAGAGCCTGGCTTCTTCCTCCTGACACTGCCCTTTCCCAATGGATCCCCAGGAATGAGGGCACCCCTCAGTCTCCAGGGGTTGTTGGGGGTGGTGGCAACAGCCTGATATTTTGCAGGAGGTGCGAGTTACAAGTGGAACGTAGCTGAGGCCTCCAGCTGCGCACAGGGACTGCCGCGGGTGCTGTCCTCCAGGTGTGCCTCTACCAGCAGTCCCTGTGCACACCCACACCTCAGGCCTCACCAAAGGGTATCCTCAGGAGCTGCCTGCGCAAGGGTGCTGCTTGGCTCCTCTGAGCCAGCCTCTGGGGAGAGGCAGGGCAGGGCAGCGCCACTGCAAGTCCCAGCACAGAGGCTTAGTGAGAAAGTATAGAGTGAAAGAGAAAGCCAGTTCCTGTATCCCTAGTGAGCTCCAGCTGTGCTCTCTGAGTGAAAGCAGGGCTGCTGCTGAGAAACTGCAGCCTGGAGGCCCAAGGCACTGGGCCTTCATCTCAGCCAGGGGCAAGGCTGGAGGTCAGAGCACAAGAATGCCATGCAGAAACAGGACTTAAACCCCAGCCCCCAGCTCAGCCGCAGTTGACTTAAGGGGGGATCTTATTGCAGTCTTCCAGTTCCCGAAGGGGTCCTACAGGAGAGCTGGGGAGGGACTTTTTACAAGGGCAGGTAGCAACAGACCAAAGGGGAATGGTTTTAAACTGGAAGAGGGGAGATTTAGACTGGATATTAGGAGGAAATTCTTCACTGTGAGGGTGGTGAGACACTGGCTCAGGTTGCCCAGGGAAGCTGTGGATGCCCCCTCCCTGAAAGTGTTCAAGGCCAGGTTGGACAGGG